GTCTTCAAAATATGCTTTTTTTAAAAAAGGAAAAAAGAAAATAAAAGTCTGAAGCAATTAGTACATCCAAATTGATTAGACTTCTGGACACAACCTGATAATTAAATTCACATAGAACTCCCTTCCATGAGAAGCCAGATCTTGTTACCTTGTAGATGGGAAACTGACCGTAGTGACAGCTTGACAGGGCTGTTGTGTTACTAACAAATCACAGTCACTTTGTCCGTTATTAGTATCCCTGCCCGGTCATGGAGCCCTATATGGCAGTCCTGTAGTCTCACTCTTATGTCTGAGGAAGGGGACATGATCCACAGAAGCTCTCATTAAAATATAGCAGTGACTCTTTAAGTGCCACAACATTTTCATTTACTGTTTTTTTTGGTCACTTGCTTTTGTCTCACATGCTTGCACGGGCTAACAGGGCTTCTTCTTCAAAAAATTTAAAGGCTTAAGTTACCTTATTTAAAAAAAATACTCTTGTCAAAGTCAGTCACAGTGCCCTTTGAGGGAAATCCCTAGCCGTCCTTTCTCTCCTTATTAGAAAACAGTCATTTTTTTTTCAAAAAAAGATGTCTACTGGAATAAATAACCTCATTATTTTCTGGGGCTCCAAGCTTGTCCCTGTTCTGTGTTTGTGATGCACATGAGAAAAAATGGGAAGGGAAATGATATGTAGACAAAAGCCGGTCTAACACTAAATAAACAAATAAAAAGTCCCCAAGTATACTTGTGGAGTTGAGAACCAGAAATAGATGTAAGATAGCAAGCAGAGTCTCTCAGTGCAACACAACATATACATACTTTCCCACAAGATTCTATTCAAATCCTCCTTATCTAGTATGCCTCCCATCCCACCCCCTCCCGAGAACCTCTTATCTTACTGATCATATTTTGGTCCCTGTCTTTTCCAAGGTTTCTGGGTGAAGCCCACGTGCCCTTGCGAGATGTCCTGGCGTCTCCCAACCTCGCCGCCAGCTTCAACGCTCCTTTGCTGGACGCTAAGAGGCAGAGCACAGGGGTAAGTTCTGTTTTTTGGCCCCAGGTGTGTCTCACAGGTGTCCCGTTCAAGGCGAATTCTCTCTGATGAGAGATGTGCAACTTCGCCATTTGCCTCCCAAATGAACCTAGAAAAACAGGACGTTTCAATCAATATGTGTACACTATGAGGGGATTGAAGAAGGAGATTTGTATTTAGATTTGCTGGAAATCCATTCAGGAAGAGACCAGAAGAGTAACTTTAAGTGGGGTTTGTCCAGATGATGCGTTTGTTCCTTGCTGTTTGGTGCCACTGAAGTGCAGACCTTACTGGGATTTCTGTCCACATTATCCCACTCCCTTCCCTCTTAAAAATACCCAGAATTGGCTGTCTCTTTTTTAAAAAATGGAGGAAACCCTCGAAATGATCTTCTGCTGGATTTTTTTTTGTGGGGGCCATGTTTGTTTAAATGGAATTTTGCTGAACGGAAAGCCTTCAGCCGGATAAGTTCTGCCATCAGAAGTTTGGATGGGCATAAAGTGAAACAAACAAACAACAATACTGTACATTCCCTCCTGAAGATGGCAAAAAAGCACGGAAACCAGCTGGTACTGGTTTGAGCCTCGCCTCACCTGGATGGTGGGAAAACGCCTGGGGTCGTAGGGGCACCTACAGTGCTACAGATGCTCTCTCGGGCTGAGCTCTTGATCTCCAAAGCCTTAGAACTGGCTTCCAGAAGGTGTGGATGTTCTTAACCCACTAGTGGGCCTAGTGGAAAGGGACCTTTGGCTGTCCCTTTTTGGAGAAAGAAAGAACAATAATGAACCTTTTGGAGAGGAAGCAGGAGGGAAGTAGAGCCTTAGAATAGCAATCTGCGCCACAGCAAGGGGTAACTTAGAAAGGACAAGAGATGGGAACCTCCCTGGGGATCTCTGGCTCTCTTTCCATTTATCATCATCCTTCTTTGGTTCAGGTTACCTTTTACAGTACAAGCTTGGGGGGGAGTTTCAACATCCAACCCCTTCTTCCTTTCCTTCCTTTTTCTTCTCTCTCTCTCTCTCTCTCTCTCTCTGGTCCTCACCGTACCAAGGAGCCTGTAAACTATAAACAGTAGATAATCTAGAAAAGTGATCAGAGTGTCTCTTTAGAAGGTTGCTCTTCTCTCTCTCTCTCTCTCTCTGTGTGTGTGTGTGTTTTGCCAGGCATACAGTGCTGAGGTGGCAAGAGGGAAGTTCTTCTGCATTGCTCTGAAGGGAGGATGTTTATATGGGGGCAACTTGGCTGCTACCATTTCATTTCCAGTTCCTTGGGGTCTCTTTTATTTAATGGGAGGCTCCTCTCGTGTTGGCTTGATTCCACAGCCTTCCCTTCTGCTCATCGGAGGTCCAGCTGAGGACCAGAATCTGAATAGTGCTTTAGGAGCTCCACAGTTTAGTGTTCCAAAGTTCCAGCCGTCTCCTTCAGGAAAGGAGTAAAACCTCGGAGTACTGGTGGGGACATCAGAACCATGTTCCTCAAGGGAGCAAATGGGAAAGACGAGCTGAGAACCTCCAAGAACTCCCGTTAGAATCATAGAATCAAAGGATCACCCAGTCGGAAGGAGGCCTCTAAAAGGCCGTCGAGCCCAAACTGGACACAGGACCGTTGATGAGGCGTAACTAGTGCTGAATAGAGGACAACTAGTATTTCAGAGGGAAACTAGTACTTAGGACACCGATATCGGGTACATAAGGCTTGCAGAAAAGGTAACTGCTCAAGTCCAGCCTTTACGAGGAAGTGGCAGCAGTGCACAGTTTGCTCCTTGGTTTATGTCTCTGGCTCTGGAGCCAGAGGTCTGGAAGTTCGATTCCCCCACAGTGCCTTCTTCACAAGGGCCAGACTTGATGATCCAAAGGGTCCCTTCCGGCTCTGCACCTCTTAAGATTTACAAAGCTCTACAAAGCCTGGCGTCCTTTCAAACATGTTGTAAACTCATGTGGATGTTTTGCCTCCTGCCTCATGTGCTTATTTGTAAACGACTGACTCAGTTGAGCTCAATGAATTGACCCTCTTTGCAATCTTCTAATCTCATCCAGTGGGATTGTTATTTTATAAATTGATTGTTATGTCTGTGCTATGTGAATATTTTAATAATAGCAAAAAAAATATTTTAAAACAAAGAGACCATGAGAACCTCCCAGATCAATAGAAGGCGGCTTTCTCCCTTCCTTGCTGGGCATCTCTGTCCATCACTGGCAGAAGGCAGGCTGAGGTTGTATCCTGTCCGAGCTGATTTGACCAGCCCCCTCCCCTCACCCTCTGTCTGGGAGGGAAGGTGTCTTGCAAGGTTTTTGGGTGGACGTGGGTGAGGGCTGACCCTTCCTGGTGGATTGTGGCCACATCACTGGTGCCACAAAGGAGACGGGGTGGGCAGGGCAGATGAGGGCAGGAAGAGGTGGCCTCTCTCTCTCTCTCTCGTTTCCATTGCTGGCCCTGGGCAGCAGGAGGTTTCCTGGACTGTTCTGACCATGGGTTGGGCGACATGACAGCAGCCCACTCCTGCCGGTGGAAGTTCACAGAACCCAACCAGGGCCCACCGTCCTGTTCCTGGGAAGAAATCCAGAGGAAGGCCAACCCAAGCATATCGGTGGCAAGTGTAGCACCTCGGAAGATCTTCAGAACGAGGAGGAGGGAAGCCCCAGTATTGACCTGCCTGGTTTGCTGGTCCTGTTCTTCAGTGCCTTTTGCCACCAGCACTCCCCCCCCGCCCACACTGTTCAAAGGCAGTTCAGAGTTTCCCAGCCCGATGGGGCCGCGTCCAGCTGAAAGCCACCCCCTTGGGTATCAAGAGGATGGAGAGGAAGCATCCGTGGCCAGGAAGGGTCCAGCTTCGGCCAAGCGGGCTAGGGCTCGTTCTCATTCCTCGTTCTTCTCCCCCTGCCTCCCCCCTCCAGGCTTGTCTCATCCTGCAAGTCTCCTACATTCCGCCTCCCGGGGCAGCTCCTGTGTTCCCCCCTCCGGCTCCCCCGGAACCCAACCCGGCGCCGGCTGAGCTAGACACGGTGACAGGTAGGTCCGCTCTTTTTCCTCCTGTTCCGCCTTCTCTTCTAGAATGCCCCAAGAGCCCTGTGGCCGCCTCCTGGCCCCATCTTCTTCTCTTCTTTCTTCTTCTTCTTGCACTTTCCTCCTGCACCAGGACTGGCAAACGGTCGGGCCCAGCCCGTGCTTCTAACTCCAGCAGCAGACAACCCGAGGGGTCCTTGCTTAGGGTGGTTCTGTTTTATACTTTGCAAGGGTCCAGGACCACTGGGAAGCATACACAGAAGGGCAGGGAACCTGGGAGAGTCTGGACAGGTGAGGAGTCTAAGTGGCGGCCAGCCTTTCCCAGAGCAAGTGCTCTTCAGATAAGGAGGACGACCAGACCCGTTGAGTCCTGTTCGCTGGCTCAGGAAATGGGAATGCTGGTTTATCACGTCTGACGGGAAGCAGGTTTGGGAAAGCTCTTGGAAGTTCCATTTTGACAGATAACCAGGGGTAGACCTGTCCTTCATTAATACACCTGATACAAAAATACATGAGTGGAATTCTCTGCCTCGTGAAGCCCTCCAGTGGAGAGGTTGTTATCTTTTGGGTTCAGCAAAACTAAGTGTTTTGATTGCCAGTGCTCATTATAGTCTTGGCTGGCCATTCTTCATTTTTCAGTGGTGCTAACGTGATTGCTTTTCTCCTTTTATTTATTGTTGCAATTTAACAACCATTTGGTGACTGCCCAATATACTGTTGCACAAATTTTGCCTGCAGGAAGGTGATGGCTAAAGGCTTCAGTAACTAAAGGCTTCTTCTTGTCTGACTCAGAATCTACGGCCAGGGCTGGTCGTAAGTCAAAATGGTAGTAAGTAGGGCTGTATCTATTTCATGGCGTGGAAGCCGTGGGAGCCATGGGACAGGTGGAGGAAGTCTTTACGTACCAAAAACGTTACCCCTTCCAGTGATGTCATCACCCTTCCACTGGCATAACTTCTACACCAGGATTTTGTCCGGTATCTCCAGAAATGTCAGTGGCACTGAACAGACAGGTGTGCTTTGGCCAAGCTGTATGTATGCATCTCTCTGCTTGTCTGTCTGCCTACATAAATTTACTGTATATCTATATAGTTGTTACATGCCATAAGGCTGCTTCCGACTTCTGATGATTCTATGAATTAATGACATCCAGAATGCCATACTTTACTTTACTTTTTACTTTATTTTATACGCTTAAAAACCCCACTTCTATGAGTTTGCCCAATGATGGATGTAGCTTCTTTTATTAAGTCATCCCATTTCATGTTTAGTCTTCCTCTTTTCTTGCTGCCTTCACATTTTCCAAACATTATTGTCTTTTCCAGTGAATTTTGTCTGAATGGCTGAAACCCAATACTAAGTCACACTTGTGTTAGACCCACTGAATTATTGGGGATTGGATGAGTTAACTCCTCCATCAATCCCGGTGATTCAAGGGATTTACTCTAGGGCTTCTGTACAGGACTTGCTACTGGATTCTGGCTCGTGTGTAATAGCCTCCATTGAACTGTTTTCGCCTCTAGAAAGCATTCGGGTTTGACTTAGTTGTCCTGCTAGCAGCTCGTGGGATTTGGATCCGGATTGCTCTCATCTCTATCTCTGTTTATAAGTCAGGACAGTTTTTTTAAACAATGCAGAACGTGAGCATCCTTGTGTCCGTTCCAGATACAGGTGGAGAGGACGAGAGTGAGGATCTTCTTGGGCCCGAAGAGGAAGAGGAACCTTCATCGGGGCTGCCAGCTCCCGAGCAGCCTTCGCTTCCCAAGAAACCCCCGTTGCATGTCATTCAGGGGACCAAGAAGAGGAAAAGCACTTCCAGAAAACTGCTCTCCAACAAACCCCAGGACTTTCAGGTGAGGAGGCCCCTCTTTAGGCGGCATCCACTTCACCCCATGAGTCGCCTGCGTGCCCATCAAGGTCCTGCTGCTCAGCCTTAAGCACCCACTTCTTCCCTAAATGGAGAAATGGGATGGAGATGGTCGTCTTTGGAAACGAGGCACAGACCATTGAAATGTATGCATCCTCGCTCTGGAGCAACACTTTCCCTCTTTCTGTCTTCCTTTGGCAGAACACGGCCTTCACCAACTGGCTGCTTTACGACAAGAGCTGGACTACAACTCCCATCCTCCCTTCCAAGCATGGCCAGGGATGGTGGAAGTTGCAGCTCTCAAACTCAGGAGGGCACTGGTTTGGGGAAGGCTGGATGGGTGTGTGTGTGTTTCAGAATCTGAACCTGGCTTGAATTCCTGATCTTTCCAGAATCATGTTGGTACTCTTTCCTCTCCTCCTGAGCAAACAAGATGCGGATTTTACAACGGACGTGTTTTTCTGGCACCCTTCCCCATTTCTCCCAGCACCAAAAAAGAGAACACAGCCTCCTTCCTCTCTCCCCTCGCCTCCTCCTCTCTCTCTGTGCCCCCCTTGTGGCCTTCGCTGAGTCGGTCCAGCTCCCCAGCCGACCCCAGCCTCCAGGGTTCCTAGGCATTTGGACGGGAGCCTGTTTTCTCCTCCTCTCCTCTCTTGCATTTCTAGATCCGGGTGCGAGTCATTCAAGGAAGGCAGCTGCCTGGAGTCAACATCCGGCCAGTGGTGAAGGTCACGGCTGTAGGACAGACCAAGCGAACCAGGATCCGGAAAGGAAATGGGCCCTTTTTTGACGAGGTGAGAAGGGGGCAGTGGAAGAGAGGAGGGGGGAAAGCTACACTATTGCAGGAGCAGAGTTTTGGGAGTAACGTGGGTCCCAAGCCGCAGAAATCTGAGATCTTTTCTAGATGTCCTCAAATGGCCTCTTTTCAAGCAGCTCCTCTTCACAAGAGTGGGTCAGCCCCTCAAGTCTCACAACATCCCTTCTTCCTCTTATGCTCTCACTTGCAAACAGTGAGCTGCAGCCCCTGTGGAGAGGTGACCCTCTGACCCACATGACAAACACATTTAATCAATCAATCAATCAATCAATCAATCAATCAATCAATCAATCAATCAATCAATCAATCAATCAATCAATCAATCAATCAGGGCCACAGTTTATTGAACTTAATGGAGACTATCCTCCCCTTTAAAAGGGGAGCTTATAGTAGTGTGGAAACATTTATTTATTTATTTATTTATTTATTTATTTATTTATTTATTTATTTACTTATTTATTTATTTATTTACATACGCCACCCACATTACCCAAAGGTCTCTGGGTGGCTTACAACAATTTAAATGCAATAAAAAGATAAAACAATTAAAATGCAATTGAAAATACAGTGCTCTAAAAATTTTGAGCAGTCTTTGCTCAGAATATACTCAGACAACAGCGAGACCATCGATATTAGAGGAGTGCAAGTTGGTGGCTTCTCTCTGTCTCTCTCTCCAGCCTCCAAAACACAGATTGGGAGACGACTGGTCCCTGTTATCTGTTCCACAAATTTCCAGCCTCAGGGAGGCTCCCATTGGCCACTCCCTTAGCGGCCACACCACGGAAGGGCTCTCTACCAGTGCTTGTCATTGGTTTGGGATAGAGCTGGCTGTGAAGTTCTAGGATACTTTTATATCCCACCCTATTTGCACAGTGAACTTGGGCCTCTTCTAAATATGTGACACAACTCCTCAGCCTGGATGCTTTGTGGGTGGTCAAAAGCAAAGTAAACAAAGTAAAGCTTGCTGCTCATATACTGCCCTATAGCGCTCAAAGCGCTCAAAGGGTTATTTACAAGTTAATTATGCAGACTACACATGGCCCGCCACCCCTCAATCTGGGTACTTATTTTGCCCACCTCGGAAGGATGGAAGGCTGAGTGAACCTTGAGTCGGTGGACCTGGGATTGAACCTTGGGCTGTAGGCATCCTTTGGGGTGCAGTGCAGTCCATGAGGGTCCTTCCAGCATTGAGGAAGGCAACCTCTCACCCTGACCTGAACCTTTCTGGGTCCCCTGAAGACAGAGGCCAGCCTGTCAGGGAGCACGGTGTGTCTGTCCTCCCGTAGGTGCCTTGGAGGTACCTCCAGCTCTCTTTCTTCATGTTTCCCACAGACCTTTTTCTTCAATGTTTATGAATCCCCCATGGAACTCTTCGATCAACCACTGTTCATCACGGTAAGTCCTGGACTGAGAAGCGGGGATGGTGGTGTGTGTATTCTGTTTCATCCTAAAATTACATTTGTCTCACCTTTCACTTGGGAATGAGGGTGTTTAGGGATAAGAATTAGCCTTCTTCCAATATCTGAAGGGTTGTCTCATGGAAGTTTGGAGCACCTTCTTTTACCCTCCAGATCCAGAGGTTAGGACGAATTAGAAAGGAGATTTTGCCTAAACATTAGGAAGAATTTTCTGGCAGTAATATAATAGCTGTTTGGCTGTGGAAGAGATATCTTGGAGGGTGATGGAAGTTTTTAAATAGAGGGTGGGTGGCTATCTGTCAGGAGTGCTTTAGTTGTGGACTTCAAGGCGGTTGGACACCAAGACCCCCAGCTCTGTAATGCTATGATTCTGTAATGCTAAGAGAAATGTTTGGCCATCTGCCCCCCCAGCCCCCAAATGGGTATCCCTTGCTAAGCTGTTCACCGGCGGGTGTGTTGCTGGCCCAGAGCAAGCCATTCATTCAGCATTTCTTACCTTACTGGTATGAGCCAGAGGCACAACATTGGAAATCGCAGGATTTGCAAATTCTGAAATTTATTCATAATTTTATAACTAGTTTTTTTTTCATCAAGTAAACTCAAAGAGGGCTCTAATTCAATAAAGTATAGTACTGTGGGAAAAAAATTGCAAAGATCAAGGACTGATAGCAAAATGAATTTTTCATTTTGATAACAAGATGTACATTTTAGAAATCAAAGTATTACTGTATATTAAAGTGAAAAACCTGATAGCTTCAATTAGCTCCGTGAATGACTAAAATTAATATAACACTGGCCAAAATTCTGTTGCATCAGTTAGGCTTGCAGTAGAACATTTTTTTGTAATAAAACAAATCTTCTTTCTTACCACTGCTCACAGATAATGAGACGGCTTCCATGTGAGCTGGACAAGACATAGGACGAAAGTAGGAACTGTTTCATTATCAAGAATCTCTCGCCCGTCCACTGGCAAATGACCTCATCACCCTTATGCAGCCCGATGACTTCATGTAACAGTATTTTGGCCACTGACTAAGCTTTATTGCAAGCCAAACTGTCCCCAAAATGACAGAATCTTCAAATATCAAGGGGAGCTGTTAAATGTCACCAGTTCGACACATGTTTGCTGAGAGTGTGGAAACTTTTAAAAGTAATTGGCTCCTTTTATAGTTCTAAAAGCCTCAGTTAGTTAGCTACCACTGCAGTTATTTTAAAAGTTACTCTTATTAGGATGTTTACTTTTTAATTATTAAAAGACTTTGGGATTCTATAGTTCACGGCCATGTGGTTCAAAACACACCTGAATTAGGAAGCCCCCCTGCAGAACTGTAAAAGGAAATGAATATCATAGTTACATTTACACCCACAAAAGCAATGCAATTCTTTCCTGTTGCACTACAATTGCAATGTTCTTATGAATGTTTTTTGTTTGCATTTTTTTCCCTCTGCCCTTTCAGGTTGTTGATTCCCGCTCCCTCCGGACGGACTCAGTCATTGGAGAATTCCGGGTAATGGTGGCCTTTGTTACTGCAGATTAAACAATTCATGGTCATTTTCCAAACATCATATTGAGATGTAACAATTGGCTTATTGTCCTGTTAATGAGAAACTAATTATTTTAACATGTTAGACATGAAATACGTTATTCTCAGACTCTGCTAACAAGAGTGTCCTTTGAAACTCCCCAGAGGTGTCCATCAGGAAGGGGTAATTTCTGTTAGACAAACAGGATGGGGAAAAATAAATGAAAAAGTGATTTTTCCCCCTGTAACCAGCCTTAGAAAATGTGATTTTTTCCACGCTCTGAGATGGGGGCAGCTGCTGGTGAGGTTACTGGATTCCTGATTTAGGATGTTCCAACAAAATGCTCCTTTCTGCTTGTGTTCTGCAGGTGGATATCGGAGCAATTTATTCTGAGTCAAGTGAGTACAACAGTTCATTAGGACTCTTCCAATTTTATCCCTTTTAAGGAACTGGGTGGTTGGTTTAGCCCCAAGGAATCCAGGGCTAATAAGATCTGTTTGGCTGTGTCTGCTGAAAAAAACCTTGGTAAAAACAATTCTTAATTTTAAAAGGGGATTTGAACCTTGATAAAATGAGAGAAGAATGTTTAGACAAGAGAGTTGTGATATATGTATGACAAGGGGTTCTGCTGGGCGTATGTCCCTTTGCTACTTGATGGGCTGGAGATGGTCAGAGATGGGAAAAGCTCCTTTTGGGAGTGACGGGTCCCCAAATTCCACTTTCAGGAGACTTGGGGTAGTTGTGTTTTTTTACTGCTGTTAATTGCCCAGAGTAGTGCTTAGGCTTCAGACGGGCGGATTGTCAGAACCTGACATGGTGGCGAAGCAGCCAGGAAGATCAGGTACTAGTCAGATGATAAGCTAAGAGGAAGAGAAGATAAAAGATCCAGAAACGAAGCACAACTGGCTTTAAGGCAAACCGTTTTCTCCAGCTGTAGTTTTTCATAATACTTTTACTTTTAATGCACTTCTTTGAGGCACCTTTTAAAAGAACTTTTCATATTTAGGGCAATTTCTCTGTAACCCATAAAATCATTTTTAAAAATTATTAATAGGCATACAATGTAGTGAATAAATAAATGCTTGGAGTCCAGAAAAGTAACTTCTTCTAGACAGGGCCTTCTCTAGGGTGCCCCCCCCCGATGGGATGCTCTCCCTTGGGACGAGGGTCTTTTTAACCCTCTGCTGACAGCTGAAAGCCCAGCTCTTCAGACAGCCTTTTAATCATTGAGTCCTGCATGCTTTTTTTTAAGCTAAGTAAGTTTGTTTTAAAAATGTACATGTTTTTAACCACTTAATGTATTTTAATTGTTCTCATCGTTTAATTGCTTTTTAATGTATAATATATTGTGGTTTTACTTTTATTATATATATATTTTTACTTGTGGCCATGTTGTGATCCACCTTGAGTCCCCTCCTCAAGGGGAAAGGCGACTTGCAAAGAACACCAAATAAATGAACCAGTGATGCTCTAGGAGTTGATTTACGCCTGCGGAAGAGAAATCCCGTCAATCCCTGAGGGGGAGATTGCCCCTCTTTAAATAAGGCACAGGCTACATTTCTGGAGGGGCTTCAAGTCATGCCGCTGGGAGCCCCTCCAGGAACTCATCCAGCACGTGGAGGATAGATAGGAAGGGGGAGTTGACTGCCAAGGATACGGGTTGAAACTGAGCACCCTTGGAGGAGGAGAAGCGAGCCACGGGGGATCCTCTCTTAACCTGATTAATTTCAGTCCACTAGGAGGAGAAGCGAGCCCATATCTTTGGTTCTGAAATGGAACCCTAGAAGGGTGGAGAAAAAAAATATATTTGTCTCTCTTCCTCTTGTTCCCTTTCTCCCTTCTCTTTCTCTCCCCCCCCTGCGCCCCCATTAAGAGCACTGCTTCCTCCGAAAGTGGCTGCTACTTTCTGATCCGGAGGATTTTTCCGCTGGGGCAAGGGGCTACCTGAAGGTCAGCTTGCATGTCCTTGGTCCAGGCGATGAAGTGCCCGTGAGTAGACGTTTATTTTCTATGAAAACGGGTCAGTGGGAAAAAAAAGAAAAGATTTCATCCAGGCCTGGGGCCCTCTCTGCCTTCCGTGGAGATGTCGGGGAGTGTGGGGGGGGTTCTCCTCTCCTGCTGTGTCCCTTCAGGAAAGAGGGGATGAGACAGGATGAGTGCTCTGCCTTGGGCTCACAGAAGGCCTGTCATTGTCATCCACCCAACATTCATTGTGTTTGACGCTTGAAATCAAGGCACGTGATCCATGGAAATGCAACACCTTTCTTTTCTGCATGGTGCCATCTCTATGCTGGGAAAAATAACGGCACCTTCTGAATTTCTTGCCTGGGGTGCCCCATAAAAAGTTGATGCCCCCTGCAAGAAAAGAAAAGAAAAACCAGCCAGCCAGCTCTGGACATGGAGGAGAAAGACAGACTCTCGGTGGGACCACCTTCCATGTTCTCCTGCGGCTCTTGCTGCCGGTTGGGCGAGCTGAGGAAGCAGAACCTGCTCCTTTTGGAGGACAGGCTGGGGCCTCCGTTAAAACGTTAGCGGTGACTCCGTCCTCAGACGAAGGACCCTTTTCTTCTCCAGGATTTGTGTGGAAAAGGATGTAGGGCGGCCAGGGAAGGCTTCATTTTCTTTCGTCCTCCCTTTACAGATGGAGAGGAAGGAGGGGGCGGAAGAGAAGGAGGACATCGAAGGCAACCTTCTCAGGCCAACGGGGGTGGCTTTGAGGGGGGCCCACTTCTCCCTCAAGGTGTACCGAGCAGAAGACCTTCCTCAGAGTGAGTAAGCAAAGGCGTGGCGTTCTCTCCCCGATGGGACGGGGCAGAGCAATACGAGGAGGAAGCAGGAATTAAATTTAAATTTAATTTGTATTTTAAATTTTAAATTTTAATTTGTATTTTAATCGTATGATTAAGGAAGCAATAGGGAGGTTGAGCTGGGGAGAAGGGGCTTCTCACTTCCAGGGAATACACTCCCCGTGAGAGAGGGCAGCTGACCAGCCCACCCACAGGTTAAATGGGCCCCCTACGTCCTCTCCCGGGCCCAATCTCTCTTTCATTCAGATGACAAAATCTCCTATCTCTGATCAGGAGCCGATTGAAGATAAGAGCTGCTGCTTGCTGGTACAAGATCTCCCAGGGTGACGGTGAAGGCATCGCATCGAGTTGGACTGTGGATTCGAACTGCCACGCTGGCCATTAACAGCTCTCTTTTCCTGATTTCTCTTTCCTTCCAGTGGACGATGCCATCATGGACAGCGTCAAGCAGATCTTTGGGTTTGAGAGCAGCAAGAAGAACCTGGTGGATCCATTTGTGGAAGTTACCTTTGCTGGGAAGACGGTGAGCTGGCTCGGTTGTGCCGTCGAGGGCAGGGAAAGTTCCAGCCCTTGTCCCATTGACAAGGAGTGGATGATGGACAGGAGAGTGGGGATTAGGTGTGACTGAACATCTGTTTGTGAGGTGGCCAGGAGGCCACGAGCCAACGCCATCCTTGTGCACAACCAAGGATGTGCCTTGCCTGTGGGGGTCCCAGATGGGTACCTTTTTGAAAGGCCTTCGAGAAATCGCCGCCTCTCAGAGTAGCCTCCTTTAATGCAGCTTCTGGTGGCCTGAGGCAGGGCCGGATGCCGCAGTGTCTTCCATGAGGTTGTACAGGTTTGTTGTTTGGGCCACAACTGCCAGAACCCTTTAGCTGTGACACAAGAAGAACGCCTCTTAGGGTGTAGAATCGTGGAATTTGGATCACTGAAAAATAAATACGTGCCTGGGGACAGACAGTCCCTAGGAATTTGAAGATTCTCAGTCCTCCAGGTGAGGTTATTTGGAAGCAGAGTCCTGGCAACTGGACTACTTCCTTACGAGGTTGAAACATTTTGCGAGCCATCCAAGGAGCTTCTTCAGTCTACTTAGATGAGTAGTGAAACGTTTCGACCGAAAGACGTTGAAAGGATGATAGTGGCTGTAGTGCGAAAGCCCCTGGAGGACCACAGTTTCTCTAGCTTGCCACGTAGGCATGCTCAAACCTTTAAATGATTTCATGTAGTTTAATCAATTGTATAGTTTTTTTTTTAAATGTACCACATTGTGTTTAAATTCTATTCATTTTAATCCTGTGAGCTGCCCTGAGCCCACATTGGGAGAAAAGCAGCCTAGAAATAAGACGTTTTTTTTAAATGTACAACATTGTGTTTTAAATTCTATTCTTTTTAATGCTGTGAGCCGCCCTGAGCCCACTTATTGGGAGAAAAGCAGCCTAGAAATAAGACCAATGAATGAATGAATGAATGAATGAATGAATGAATGAATGAATGAATGAATGAATGAAGTGCAGATGAGATTAAGACCAGCAGCCAGTAGCTGGCCATCCTCCATTCTCTCTCCCACAGCCGTTCATGTACCATGCCAAGCGCCATGCTGTGCTCTCTTCACCAGGCCCCACACACTTGGTTGTTGACATTCCGCCTTGCATCAGGGGGTGGTTGGCGCCAGGTGGGTTTGGGGATGACAGTGACTCCCTCCTGACTCTGTTTTTGGTCTTCTTCTGCCAGCTTTGCAGCAAAATTGTGGAAAAAAATGCCAACCCTCAGTGGAACCAGAGCATCACCTTGCCGGCCATGGTGAGCCCAGAGGAATGTTCACTTCCAGAAATGGGTGGGAGGGCCCTCTCTCTTGTCCGAAGAGCCCCTGCAGCTCCACTTATCCTCGAACTCTTTCTCTCCTTAGTTCCCCTCTATGTGTGAGAAGATGAGGATCCGGGTCATTGACTGGTGAGTTGGGAGTGAGGTTGGTGTAAAAAGTGGCTTTGACTGCCAGGAGCTGGAATTCCATTGGGGTGCGGATAAAGTCCAAACCTATGCCTCACTTGCCTTGGCTAATTGTGACTAATTGACCAGGTGCTCCTCAGCTGCTCAACAGGGTGTGTGAACAGGAACATGGCAGAGTCACACTCTGGCACCTTCTCAATCAGCCGTAATTACCTATGGCAAGTTCTGCAAGACTTAGCAAACGCCATAGGACTCTGGCTGGTGTTAAGAGATAAAAAGAAAGTGGAATTTCTGGGTTAAGATGCAGAGGGCTGGCCCTGGATGGCTGCCTCGGGAAGAAGACTGGCAAGCAGAAATAGGCAAGCCCACCTTCTGTTTGCTGCCTTGCCGCTGAAGTAGCCGGGAAAGCATGGTTCAGATTTGTTTCTGTGCGTCCGGCTGCTCTTCAGAGCCCAGAGAGAAGCAGTATTTCCGGTGCCGTCAAGCCCCAGAATATTTTATCCACCCTAGAGGTGGACGATTTTGGTGGGCAAGATCAGAGTGGGACAAACCTCATGGGAGAAGATTCTCTCTTCCATAAAATGACAGGAGGCACATAGATGCTCTTTTTGTCTCGGTTTGCCAAGAAATGTTCCCATCTGTCCCCAAGGTAGAAAGGTTTGTGAAGGTACAGGAGATCTTTCCAGAGGAGAGGGCCAGCCTGGTCACCAGCTGGGGTGGTGGTGGTGCTTCCATCTGGCCCTGGAGTGATTGGAGTTGGCCATAAACTGACCACTGCCGCCACCTTCTGTTAAGCGGTAGCCACGTGCCCACCGCCACTGCCGCTGGGCCACTGGTGGGCCAGTGTCTAGGACAAAAGGCCTGGCTTTGTGGGTCCTTGAGGCGAAGGATGGGTGGGAGGTGGTGGCCAACATCTTGTCCAAAGGCATTGCCCACAGCTGTTGAAAACGGGTTGCGCCTTGGAGGTGGGCAGCTGTGATCTGGGGAGAAGAGGCCATGCAAGGATCAGCATCCTCATCTTCTGCCTTCTTGTCTTCCTCCCACCATGAGCGAGGCAACACGCAGTTGGGGGCCATGTCCTGTGGGGGTGTGTGACAGATCTTGTGCAGGTTAAGAAGGGATAAAAGCTAACAAAACATGACGTTGCAACATTTAAGTCAAAAGAGCCCTTTTTGTTTCAGGGACCGTCTCACTCACAACGACATTGTCGGGACCAGCTTTCTCTGCATGTCCAAAATCTCAGCTCCTGGAGGAGAACTGGAAGGTATTCTGGGCTCATGATCAAGATCCTCAGACCATGTTTGGGAAAGGGTGAGGGCGAGGAGCCGACGAGAGCAGGCCTCCGTAGCATTTGCACCACGGACACCTGGATTTGACAGTTGGCCAAGGTTACATTTTCGACACCACCCAGAATCCTGCGGCTTTGTTGAATGAGGATTCTGGGTGTTATTCCCCCACCCATGAGCTCCCCCACGTTCTGCTGGAACCTTTGGGGCTTATGAATCTGTACTGGGTTTTAGTCTGAACACTCCAGGAGCCGTGCAACGTATTGAACTATTTGGAAGGTAGGGATCAGCACCACCGACAGCTCCCGGGAAGGTCAAAGCCAAGACCTTTCGTCAGCCTCACCCCATTTATTTCAGATGCCCTTCCTCTGTGGTGGGGCATCCTTTTCTCTTATCTGGCTGGAGGATAAAACCCTTCTTCCTCTCTTTGGGCACGTACAGTCAGCATCTCTGGAAGGACCCACACACGTTTGCCATCTTCTGTCGTCTTCCTTTTAAAAAAGTAGATAGTGACGGTAGATCCACTCGCCCTTGGCAGCTGTTTTCCTACCTGGCTTCCCCACCTTGGCTAGCGATGGTAATGAATATGGTTGGCTCTTTTGAAAATAAAAAAGGTGGCTTTTTTAAAAAGGGGAAAGTGTGGCCCAAACAAGCATGTGACCTCTTGATCCCCACCCCACCCTCTACACCCTGTCCAGTGTCTGTTACCTGGCCCTTGTTTGGACTTCCCTGCTTTTCTCTCTCTGCAATGGTTACCTTTTTCCTGATGTAACTTCTGGAGGCCTGTTCGCACCCCAGAATGTGCAACAGGGCCTCTGGCCTGGTCCGTGGCAACCGAATGGGGTAATACAGAAGACCCCTTGAGGTGGGAGGTGGGTTAGATAGAGCCATTGATTTTAGGGACTTAGTGGGGCTTAAAAACTGAGAGGCAGTCACACTCAGTGATTTTACTTCTGACTCCCACCTGGTAATGGGGCAAAGGCCAGGAGGCAGTGGGATTTGCACTCACCCACTAACCAGTGTGAAAGAGGTGGAGGACCTCTGTGACAGGCCTGTTCTGGACACTACTACACTTTGAGAAGCATGCCAACAAACTGGAACAAGTTCAGAAGAGGGCAACAAGGGGGTGGTGGTGGATCAGGTGGCTGGAAACCAGGCCCTATGAGGAAAAATGGAAAGATCTGGGCATGTTTAGCCTTTTGAAAAGAAGACTGAGGGGTGATAGGACAGCGCTTTTCAAATATTTGAAAGGCTGTCCTACAGAGGAGGGGCAAGATCTCCATCATCGCAGAGTGCAGGACACGCAACAATGGGCTGAATGGGCTCAAGGAAGCCAGATTTTGGCTGAATATCAGGAAACTCTTCCTAACTGTTAGAGCAGTACGACATATGGCCTCTGAAGGTGGCGAGTACTCCATTTCTGGAGGCATTCAAGAGAAAATTCGACAACCTTCTCTCAGATGTATTTTGATATGGATTCCTGCCTTGAGTGTGTGTGTGTGTGGGGGGGGTAGGACTTGGTGGCCGAAGAGGCCCCTTACAACTTCATGATTCTATGATTCTATGGTTCTTTGATCATGGTTGTAGTTGGGAGAGATAAACTGACCCTTGCACACAATTTTAGTCTAGCTACTCAAAGCCCAAACAATAACATAAGCATTTCATCTACAGCCACACACACACATTCAGGATCCTGAGAGTCTAAAAGTTAGTAAAGAAAGATGGCAAAAAAAGAGAAAGAAAATAGAGAAAGAGTAAATTCTAGAAACTGACTCCGCACTAGCAGTGACAATGCATGCCTTTCACTTCATCTTGAAGCTAAGTGAGATGTGTGGCTGTGGGCGTGGAAGAGGATATGTAGCCCTCATAGGCCTCTGCCTGAATGGGAATAATTCTTCACATGAGGCCATCGTTGGAGATGTAGGGACCAAGAACCTCCAAAAATCCACCCTCTTCTTTTCATTTTAACCTCTCATCTCCTTTGCCCTTCTCTGCTGCTTTGGAAGTTTATGAGTTCTGCTCCTGTATCCCTTTTTAATCTAACGTGTGCGTGTGGATGTTCTGCTTGTGACATGGAGACCCTGACGTCCTGTTTTCTCTCCCCTTTCCGTGTGCCTCAGAGGAGTCGGCTGCCTTGGCGAAGCCCTTCAGAGCCACAGAGCGTATGTCCCGTAGCATGCTGCTATTCTCTTTGCTCTCGTTCTGATCCCCACTCTTAGGCTGCTTCTTCCAAACTTCTTCTTGGCTGAAAGTCACAAATCGAGACCCGCATGTCGTTGGCACTTGGCACGTCTCGGTTCCCCCCTCCTCCCGGCCATGCATCCCTTGTGCCTGTTGTGTGGTGTAGCCATCAAGGAGCAAATCAGTTATGTTGTTCAATGATAAGAGTCCTTTCTGCTGACCCTTGCAAGCTGTTTGGGCCTTGGTAATTTCGCCTCTTGGTTTGCATGCCGTTGTGGCATGGAGGGGTTGGGGATTGGGCAGAATGTGAGCTTCTTTTTTTTAAGGGGGGGGGTTTGCCTTCCATGTTCCCTGCCCTCACCCCAGGGTGTCGGCTGCTTTGAGCATTCCTTATAGCCAGTCTGGGAGGGACTGTGGCTGCTTACATCATCCTGACTTGAAAAAAAACTAAAACACATGTAATAAAAGAAATGTGTCAGGCTGTTTAAGGGAGAGCATTCTGAAACTGGGATGGCAGCTGTGGCATTTTCATACAGCGGACCTCCTCTTTGCAAAACCCTGGTGAGATACTCAAGGCAGTTTTTTTCTTAACCAAAGAAGCATATCACAATTTTAACTTTTAAAAAATATTAAACGATTGCATTAAAAGCAGCAGTCCCTGGAATTTAGCGTCTGGTGCATACTACCTTGTTTGCAGCTTTGGTGGGTGATGACAATATTAAACAAATAAGTATTGGGTGCCTTCCCTTCACACATGGGCTTGGCTGGCCCAGTTCTTTAATTGTTTGCCTCAACGTTCGGTTCTGGGGCCGAAGCTAGCCTTTCCCTTCACTCTGTTCCCAGTGTCTGGCGGCTGCCAACCACGCAGTCACGCCGAGGATCAGAATCATAGACTCTTAATTGGTAACATGGTAGAGTTCACATGCAATAATTATTTTCATTTTGCAACATCTGCGCAGTCCCATGAAATGGCATAGATTTCTGACAATGTCTGATGGGTAGCATGCAAAAGTGATTTGTATTTTATGTATGGCAACTGATTGGATTCTCTGTTTGAAGCTTGGAATATCCAGATGATCAAGAAATGCCCACAAATCTACAGGATTTCAGTGGTGAATTAAAGCTGTCATGTTAAAAATCTATCTATCTATCTATCTATCTATCTATCTATCTATCTATCTATCTATCTATCTATCTATCTATCTATCTATCTATCTATCTATCTATCTATCTATCTATCTATCTATCTATCTATCTGGCTTTAACCCTGCTCATCTAGATGCAAACAAATCTACTCTAGCCAAACAAATTTTGCTTTTAATTTATTTCCCCCACGAAAAAGAGGAATATAGAATGTTCTGAATGTATTTTTCAGTTCCACCAAATTGGCTAATGGTCCTTCAGCTGCTTAGACCAACAGCAGGTTGGAGCAATAACATTTCTGGATGCGCCTTTTGGTCCTAAGGCAAAACATCTCTCCAGTGCACGCGGGGCAATCAAGATTGCCGGTTTACTTCTGTCAACTGGGACAGAATAGCAGAATACCTGTCGCAAATGTGCCAGTTCCTCCACAATTTAATTGTTACTGTCAGAAGAAGAAAAGATTGCCCCTAAGTGTGTGTTTTCAAAATGTCCAGAAAGGTGACATCCTCAAGTGGTGGCAGAAAAATCTCCGTGAGGACCCAACAAGACTGGGCATGGGTTGGCCGCCTCGCCCCGAGAAGAGCGGCTGTCCTACACCCAAGCTAACCATTGCCTTCTTCTCTTCCCCCAGTGGATGATGGGCTGGGTTTCCTGCCCACCTTCGGTCCCTGCTACATCAACCTCTATGGCAGCCTCAGGGAGTTCACGGGATTTCCAGACCCCTACGAGGAGCTGAACATGGGCAAGGTGATGTCCCCTCCTTGAATGGACGCAGGGGAACGGTTGGGGATGGAAGGAGGGCCACAGCCCTGTTCTGGCCTGTTTTTTGCTCTGGCTTCCTTGGAAGGGGTGGCGCTTTGTGCTTTTGGGGTCATATAGCAGAGCCTGAACCCACACCTCCCTCCTGTTCCGGTTGTAGGAGAGTGGGGTACTTGGGGGGGGCCGGGGGGAGCCTGCCAGGGCTTCACTGCTCTTTCGCTGCTAAGGCTTCAAAAGAAGAAACGAACTCAGAGGAGCCCTGCAGCCGTCTCCTGTCTTCAAAACACGTCCGGCTAGAATGAGGCCAAACTCCCATCTCGTTGCCTTTTTTCCGAAGCCGGCCACCGTCCTCCCTTTTCCCCCCCCAAAAGCGGTTCCCGACACAGCCTGCCTCAAGGCATCTTCTGGCTTTCTTGCTCCTCCAGGGAGAAGGGGTGGCTTATCGTGGCCGGCTGCTGGTTGAGCTGGAGACCCAGCTGGTGGACCACGTGGAGCAGAAGTTGGGGGACATCCCCGCCGATGACATCCTGCGGGTGGAGGTAAGCGTCCCGTGCGCTCCCGTCGCTTGACCCTTTCCGTCAGAGGTGGGATCCGGCAGCACCCCTCCCAGGGTGGGGTGGCGCTGGTTGCTTTTCCAGGGCCACGAAGCTCCCCACTTGAGCTCGTTTCAGGCTCCAGACTGGTGTCCAGAAACGACCCCCCCGGAAGCTTCGTTAAAGCTGTCTGGAAAGCTCAGGGGTTTCGCTCATCTGGCTGCGGAGCCAAAGGTTAGGGGTTCGATTCCCCCTTTGGGCCTCCTTGGCAGGGATTGGGCTCCATGCTCCGTGGGGTCCCTTCCAGCTCTGCAGATGATTAGACCCAGAGGTTGGGAGTTCAAATCCCCGCTGGCCCTCCTGCGAGTAGAGCCAGCCTGGGTGGGCCTTCTTGGGCTTCCCCAGAGTTTCCGGCCTGGCTCAGCCTCTCCCGTCCCTCCGTCTCTCTGCCCGCCAGAAATACCTGCGCAGGCGGAAATTCTACCTCTGTGCCACCTTCTATTCGGCCACCATGCTGCAAGATGTGGACGATGCCATCCAGTTTGAAGTCAGCATTGGGAACTACGGCAATAAGTTTGACACCACCTGCCTGCCCCTGGCCTCGACCACCCAGTACAGCCGGGCCGTCTTTGATGGTAAGGCACCCCCAAAGCGGCACGTTGAGCCCTGTGAGGTGGGCTAGGCGTTTAACGGGTGCTTCCTGCTCTTGGACCCCGTGAGCTTCCTGCCTGTACAGCCATGGCTCCTGATCTTTTTTCAAGCCATGACCCCTTTCTAAGATAGCCAGTTAACTTGTGACCCACACCTTTTGCCACATAAAAAAGGAATTTTTCATTGGGTTAAAGCCATCCCTTCTCAGAAAGCAGAGGGTCTTTCTCTCTTTACCCCCCCCCCCACAAAGGGCCTGTTCCTCTTACGTACACAAACACCCTCACTTTAATATCCCACCCCAAAAGGTCAACAAAAGAATAAATGATTTGACAAGGGCTGCAACACAAGGAGGGGGACCCACAACCCCCAGAAAACATTTCGTGACCTCCAGGTTTGGAAACACAGCCTGAGAGGGAGATTCTGAGCCCGAGAGATGCCCCTGTGCCCTCGACCTGTCTCTCCTTGAGAAAAACTCTTTTAGAAATAGAACACCGTATTCCCCTCCACCCTCTTGGGAAAGAATCGTCCCGTTGCCCCAACGCTTTCTCCTCCTGTCTAGCTGCAACCCTTCCCCGTCTGCCTATGGATTAACATCAAGGGGGTCCACATGAGCAAGAAGTTTTTTTCCCCCTAATGCTCCACGTCCCCCATGAGGGCATGGGGTCAGTCCCCATTCCACTTACTGACTGGCAAGCTGCTGGCATAGGATGCCCCTTGCATCTGAAGACCAGCCATGGCAAGTGGCCTGACTCTGGCTCCATGGAGCTCCCTGGGTGTCTGACTTTGCTGGGGGTGGTGGTGGTTGGACTCGCCTTTCCCCTGGACATCCGAGCAACGGGGGTCTCTGAGGTCAGGGAAGCGGGTGTGAAGCTGGCTTGCCAGGCTGGGGTGGTGGTGGTGGTGTCATTATTTCATTATTTCTGCTCTATTCTTTCTCTCTCGGACAGGCTGCCAGTATTACTACCTGCCGTGGGGCAACGTGAAGCCAGTGGTGGTCCTCTCCTCCTACTGGGAGGACATCAGCCACAGAACCGATGTGCAGAATCTTCTCTCGGGGGCTGCGGACCGGCTGGTGAGTGGGGCCGCCCCAGAAGCGGGTGTTCAGTCTTGTCGGCGGGCTTTTAACTCCGACGTGCAGGTTTTTCCAAACCTCGGCTGCCGCCTGAGTCCAGCGGCCCGCGAGGGCGGAGCGGTCAGTGTCCGATCCTCGATGGGGGCAGGTTTTTCCAGGGCGTTGCCCTCTTCTGCGGCTGGCCTCGAGGGGGACCCGGAGATCCTCTCCACCTGTGGAAAGCTCAGAGCCTGCCGTGCAGGGGCGGAGCCTGGGAGATCAGGG